TCTTGCTCTCGGTAAGTCAGTCAATAGCGGCTACTAAGACTATGGTTGTATAGGACGTATGAGGAGTCTCGCTCTGTAGCCTAGTTGATCTCTACCATTGGGCCTATTTGCCAACTGCTAGAGCGTAAATCAACCCAAGCCGAAGAGCCTTCTTCTTACCTTACACCTACCAAACCTATCTGGTCTTTGGCCAATGCAAGGTTAACCCAGACAAATGTCTGTGAAGGGGGTGTTCCAAAAAGAGTAAGCTCATTCTCAAACAAAGTCCCATATTCACCCATCGCACTAGGATAGCTTGCATCTATTAGTAGTAAGCTTTTCCACCCACCTACCCGAACGAAGGCACCGGCTCTCTCTAGCGCTAGTGATCTATGGCTCTTAGGCCCCCATCCCATGTAGAGGGGGTATTCCATGCTTGACTGAAGCCCATAGTATAAGAGCTTTTCACTTTAGAGGTTCCATATGCTCATCAATCACAATTGTACGTACTAGCGAACAAGAGTGTAAAGAGAATCAACAACTGGTACTTTTTGGTTTAGCTCTATCGGTGAGTCTCCTAAATCGAATAGGTGAATAATAGCAAGAGTAGCTACAGATTTCTCTCTTAGGGTCGGGGCGTGGACTGGGGAAAGACTTGACTTAGACTACAGCTCTTGGGCACCTGCCATCATCGGCGAACGACGGAGCTTACCCGCGGCCATTGTCAAGGAACGATATCTCTTAAAGAGCCCTTATCAGACAGGAGATCTTGCTTTTTCTTCCTAATGAATCCTAAGACCTCTTCCCCCGCCGACTGAGAAATCCTGCATCAAGAGAGCCGGCCAGGCCATCTAGCTGCCATTAAGCTTTTCCTATTGGGATTTGGAGAACTTGAATCAGAGAATCTCTTTCACTCCCGGCTGAGTCAACAAGACTTGTGACAACAGACGGAAGAGCCTCTCTTTTCTCTATTCTATTGGTCCGGGCATTGACTCATTGATAGCACAGGGATGAAAGTTGTTCAACAAATCAACAAGAGCTCCGTCGTTCACAACTATCTTCTCTACCTAATCCACTGCTCGAGCTAAGCGCAGGGCTTCTTCCTTGCAACAGCGGAGAACAGAGCAGCAGCAAGACCATCATATTGAATAGTATCGGATTCTATTCTGTATCAGAAGGACAGTGTAGACCCTTGAGTACGAAAGTAGGCTCTTTCTTTTACTAGGCTATTCTTCCCATTTCGAAAGAGGAGTTCCCAGATACCGCACCACTATTCTATTAATAGACCTTCCCGCCAATCCCAGGGGCGTAGCGATAGAAAGTTTGTCAAAGCGAGGGAATACACAAGATCTTGATTTGTCTCAGCCGCTCTCCCCAGGGCAGAATCTGTTTGATATCGCCACTAGATTAGATACGTTAGTTAGCTTTCGTTTAGTAGCTTCATGCCACTCAAGCACAGCGAGGGGATCGGAGAGGAGCAGCATTGGGAAAGTCTGATTCAATTCAAGCCCTTTTGCCAGCGTAGATGAATCTTCTATCCAGATCTGATTTCGACCCATCTTCCAATCCAAGACACCTTCAACCAACCGTAGAGATCAGGGTTGAGATATCAAAGTCGACCTCCTTGTCAGGTCAGATAGATGCCTGGCATAGAGAGATGCTTAAAACATCATTCTCTGACTGAAAACAGAAGCGACGAAGCAAGGAGCTTAGCGTACCGTTTTTGACTACCTTCTCTGTCATGTCT